ACGCTTGAGCAGCCTGTTGTCAGTGGACATTCCGTTGTCCGTAGTTTTGATCCGGCCAATTGTCGTGATCACAGAGCCCACTGGGTGGCGGCGATGCGCTAGCTGTTCGCCTGCTGTTCACGTTGTTTGTTTTCATATTGTCATCGCATTAGTCACTGGCGTTTTGATCTGATCTCCGTGGCTATGATGTATGATAATTTGTTCATGTCTCTCGATTAACGTTCCTTGTTTTCCCTGCCTGCGGGCCACGTACTGCCATGTCGAACAACGTTGTGTTCGTACCGATGCTCAAAAAGTTACGAGTGTTGCAGATCCGAATTTCTACTGGCTACTGTCATGGCACTTGGCCACGGCTCTGTCAGAAACTCTTCGCCAGTACTGCGTGTTCGTATTCTGTGCCTCTCATTTTCGCTGTATGAAGAAATTCGAATGAAAATCGAGTATCGATCGGTTTGCTCGAATGTTGGTCGACACCCAGAAAGTACAATAAGCACAGTTCATTCAACACAAGGTACTAAGATAAAATCATTGGGACGATTAAAGGGTACCGAAGTTTCCGCCCTCGCCATACGCATCTTTAGGTTTGACGTCGATTTTGGTGACGGTTGTCGATAACCGGTCGCAGGTCATTCATTACTTAGTCGGGTGATGCAGAAGTGCAGCTTAAAAGACTGCCAGCTCAACACCGATCATGGCGTGGGATAAGCGAAACCGAACCCTAGGCTGATTTTCCTATAAACCTGTTATACTACTTTGTGTTAAGTATACCATGCTTTGTTGCATTTTTGATATAAACACCGGTGGAGTGTGTTGTTCCTACGCTCGTTGTCGTGATACAGCAGAATCTAGCATGACTTGTTATGTCTTCCCCTGAAGACGCATCGGTCTAGATCCCAAACGTTAACATAAATTTGATGTGTGGTGTAATCCCGCAGAAGGCTTATCGAATTTTCTTTCATGTGTAATTCGAGTTAACTTTCATATGTCATAAAGTGTTAATATGCTACAAATCTGCCATTAAAAATAGTCCAGGCTGAAAAAAATTAAAACTGGATTATTTGAGAGAAACACTGTTATAAAACAGTCTTTTCAATTTCAGCTTGAAAAAAATAAAGTGAACGCGGTGTCTAGAAGTTACATCTTAAATTGAATATCATTACTAGTGCTGAGTTGGAGCATATCATGTCCTTTCCGTTCCGTCTTGGACAAAAATATTAACGTTATTTATCTTCAGTCTGTCATTTAATTCATTGGATCCCTTCTCGATATATTTAGAAACACGGCTTCGAATATGACTAGATGTGGCAAATTTTCGAGGTCAAAATATACTATTTTATATCATGTAAGTAAATGTCCTTATCGATCTTGCCCAATGATTATTTTTTGAACTTGTTTCGACGAACGAAGCGGATAATGCACAAAATTCTTTATTTGGTTAGTCGATCATTTAAACATAGCCAGACTGAAGTGGTGTTTTCCTACGAATCAGGTACACCCTTGGCACCGCTGTACTTATGCGTCGGGCTTAGAGATGTATCGACATTTGCTATTGTCGCAAGGTCGCTGGGCGTATGGGGCAGGAAGTGGCGTTAGATTTGTTTCTGTGCTTTGATTTAACAGTTGCGAAAGCAGGTAAGCGCTGTCGATCGAGTAGCGGACCGAAGGACGAGGATTGAATCGTACGACTTCATGGAACTTTTCCCACTAGGGTATAAAAAGTCTCAATTGTCATTCTTGAATTGTCAACTCGTTGCTTATTTCACAGCCAACCCGTGTATATGAGGGTTGTTTCACCATTGGAAAACTCTAGGTGCGTTCGGCGGTATGTGACAAAACCGCTGCAGAAGAGTTCCTGGCAAGTATTATTGCTTGTCGATCGTCTAGCGTAGAAATATTATATACGCATTACTGAATTAATTGTTCCTTAATGAAAGTTTTGAAGCTCTCTTGCTAATGAAGTTTCGGGTACTGGTGTCAAAATTCGTGGTCCCGATCGCAGATTTCCTTCGTCACCATATCTGCTTCGAGCAGTTGTTTTGCTGAAATTCTTGAGCATGAACTTGTAATGAAAAGGCAGTCGAAAAAGGAGACAAACAGTTTTATTGCCCAAATTGGACAGTAATTTTGAAGGTGGCATTTATGCATTACGATGAACGAACGTCTATTCCAAGTTATAACAGCATTCTTCATTCGTTTTCGTAGTTCATTTTGGCTTGCGAGCCATCCACGAGAGGATTCACACAGCCAGTGGTTCTGTTTAAGACCTCCTTTGCGGTTCTTTCCGAGCTTTGTAGTGCTTTCTCACCTCAGTTGTCCATCTCCGTTCGTTACGCGAACTTTTCCAACGCTGAACGACGATGTGTTATGAATATGAAATATGGCATCGTTGAAGGTGTCAGCACCGTTTGGTCTTTGATCGTTTTAGAATCAGTTGTAAACACCCATAACCCGTGAGCTGGAGAAATCGTGCTGAGTGTCCATACGAATCATCCACGGAAAGAATGAGTTCGCTCTTGCGTAGTTTCAGGCAATCATTCGTCGTTGAACCATCTATCTGTTATATCGCAGTAGCCTATGCAGTTATGCTTATCCATGCCTTGCTAAGTCTGAAAAAAGATGCGCTCCACATCTAAACAAAATTTCCATAGTTGTCTCCTTCCATGAGCTTACCTTACAACTTTGAAAACTACTTAGCTGTTCCTGCAACAAAAAGCTTGAGGAGAACAAAAAGGCCTTTCACTCTATTGTGAATTACTGCCTGAATATTGCGCTACGCCGACCCTGACTTCATAACGAAACCTCCATTTAGCGCAGATGCAATAGATAGTCTGTCCATCTTTAATCTATTGCTCGCTTTCGAGGAATCCATTCTTCTAACCACATTTCGCCAGAGTTGTTGGATGCATTACATCAGAGACCCATGATACTGAAACTACATGTATAGCTTAACTTCCTCAGTCAGTAGAGCGTCGTACGCAGAATTAAAGGGTTCCGGGTTTGGCCCTCCGTCGGGATCACTCGCCTTCCTTCTGTGGTTGACAAATCAGTATCTCCCTGTGGGAAGGAAACAGAAAGCTACACACCATACTTGTCACGTGGCTGCTGTCGACTGCTTTTAAAATAAGGCACTCCTGGTTGATGGCATAGAAATTTAAATCAGTGGCAGTGTTCAACTATAACCTTCGAAAAGAAGGGCGCCAGAAATGGCCCCATTATGAAAGTGTAAAGAAGATCAGAATTCCAACGGATAAGAACTTTTCTTTCTATTCTTCGTACATCAGAGAAAACGAGAAGATACGATTCCAACGTGACTAATGGTTAGTTGCAAACTAATATGAAAGGTAAAAGGAAAGTTTGTATTGTAACTTTCGAAAACTAGCAGTATGCTGATAAACCCACAAGATCGGATTCGTTTTTATGTATAAAGTTTGTAACTATTCGAATGGCACGCTTCCATCACTGCGGTTATAACACGATTGTTGCACAGTACTCACGATGTGGAGCTGATCCCCATTTCGATTCCGTCAGTCAAAAATCCTCGATTATACAGTATTCATTGATAAGATAGAAAGATCTCGATCCCGGAAACAGGTGGTAAAAATGAGATTCATTCTCGCATCACTGGTCACCAAACTTTGGACCACGATATTTAGGATGCGCACGGTTGTGAACTACTCCGCGATTGTTCGGACTCTGTTCGCCAAGCTGCACGTCAGTTATATAAGTTATTGATTTAGGACTAGGTTGCTCGGATATCTTGAATATTACATTGTCGCCCCTTGACATCGGGGAGTTTTACGCGATTCTCCTATAATGAGGACTTTAATAAAAACACGTGGTGCTATTGCCCACAACTTTAAAGGAATAGCAGTGTGAAAATAGACGATATCTACAACTCTGTAATATCCTGCTTCTTACACGGTTAATTGTACTCTTTAACTTACCTAAGGTAGATCAAAGAAAAGCAACCCCACCGAGGTTCGGATTGACGGTTATTCTGTCGCGACTTCGGTACGCTGATGACGGGGGTACATTGTCCTCGTAATAGATGACCCTTGAATCAAAGGTGACAAATAGATTATTTTGAAGATTAATTTTTCGCAGATTTCACGAACGACTGATCAAACCCAGCGTCACCATTTTATGGTCGAATTTGTTGTTAACGGTCGGTCTCCTGAAGATGGTAAGAATCAAAGATCATATTCGAAGTTCGTTTCATTTCGCTAATTTATTTCGGGAAATCGGCGATCTGGGCACTTGCTTTGTACCCAAGCGTCACTTTACCGTCATTGTTCAGGCCCGGTCTAATATTAATCTTCTTACGTAGTCGACTTTGATATAGGTGTCTTTAATCTTATAGAATTTAATCTGGCCACTGCATTAAAAACAATAACACGATTGCTAATGTTATATCCTCTTACGTATTTCTATTGTCAGAGGAAGTTAACTGCAGACTCATGTTTAATGCCTTCTTAATAAGACGTCGGTGTTAAAATTCGGTTCCATCTGGGAAGTGAAAAGCAAAGGTGTCGTTATACAGTCCGTAATTTCGCCCGACTTTCCTCCGTAGATTGATCTGCATCGCAAAAATTACTGTGTGTGAATTTGAGGGTTGCATTTTCAGGTGGAGGTGGGGAGGTCCTGGTGTAATCACTCGAGAGGTTCATTTTCCCATTTTAAGTTAGGATGTTAATTCAGATGAGTATTTTTGCGTTGCCTTTCGCGGTTACTGTTTAAGATCACACCGGAAAAGTGGCGGCGTAGCTCGAGACAACCGCAATATTCATATCAAATCAGATCCAGCTTTTCGAACCCGAAACGATATGCTTTTT